CCTCCCAGAGTCCTGCCCCCCGGCTTGCCGCCTCGCTCACCCCCTCCTCGCCCCCGACTCCAGCGACTCCCACCCCGATAAGGCCTGCCTCGAAAGCGGAAACGGTCCAAGGCGATGTGGCTCCGCTCCCAGAAAGACGGCCGGGGGCTGCTTTCGGACAGCGAGGTCGAAGGCATCCGCACCGGGGGCGGGTGAGACCTGAACGGTTCTTTGGGTCGGTAGCTGCTGTGTCCCCTGAGGTGGCCCCGCTCTGACGAGTGCCGAGAGCGTGAGAAATTCCTCAGCTGTTGCTGAGAAGAGGACGAGGATGAGGAGGAGCCACCGCCTCCGCCGGATCCACCGCCCCTGGCCGGGTGAGGCGGCCTTCGCCGCGGATAAGGTAACAGCCCGCCGCCGCTGCTGCTGCTGCTGCTCCTGCTCCGGATCTGGCTGTTATTGTCGTCGTCGCTGATCTCCCCATCTTCGAGCTCCCCTTCTTCCTTCGGTGAGAGGCCACTGGAGGCCGGGGCTGGAGTATCTGCGGTCGCCATCCGGGGTGCAGCACCTTCCACACAACCTCAGCCCTCCGTCCGGGGATCCGCCCGACAATTACTCCTACTCCTGCAGCTCCTTCTTCCTAACGGACCCAGTCGTCACGGCCTTACCCTACTCGGTCACCCAGCGGGCTCTGCTTCCCAACTTCCCCGCACCCCAGCTCTGTCTCGCCGGGCCGTGGCAACCCAGTTCCCTCTCCTAGCGCCCCCTTGCTTCTCCGCGGTCGGGGCTCTTCCGCCTCGCGAAAAAGTGGCTCTGGAAGCGGCTGTGCCCCGGACGTCACTTCCTGCCGCACGCGGGAAACGAGGCTCCCAGTTAACGCGAGAATAACAAGGGCGGCCCGAGGCTTGCCGGGATTTGTAGTCTACCGTCTGGCATCGGCTGGGTCTGGGGGTGTCATCGGCTGTCTCGGGTGTACAACTCGCAGCCGCGCCGGGCTCTGGACCGCGACAGCTGAGTGCGCGCCAGAGTAGGCGGGCCTGCTCTTAGCTGCAGCTTTGAGAGGATTGCACAACAGTCGGAGGGCAAAACAGTTACTCCTTTGAATAGTTCCGAGAACTGCTGTCAGAGACCGCAGACCTATTCCATTTTGAGGGTGGCGAGGAAAGAACTGGCTGTGTCCGCCATGTTGGTGAAGGCAAACGAAGGCTACGCGAGCTCCAGGGCCGTCGGCCCTGCTGGCTCGAGTCCGCCATATTAATAAAGAGAAAGGGGGTGGGAGGGGGGGCCCTCCTTCAGCCCCAGCAGCCCCCACGTACACACCCCTTCTTCCCACCCCGCTGTCACGACTAAGCTCGGGGGGCGCTTCGGCTGCTTCGATTGTACAGGCTCTGCTGGAAGGAAGCTAAACAGCCAGAGCCTCCCAACAGCGCCGAATGAGTGGCAAAGGGAAATGCCGACCAATTGCGCCGCGGCGGGGTGTGCTACCACCTACAACAAACACATTAACATCAGCTTCCACAGGTAACCTGGGCGGAGAGAGGGGGCGGCGGAAACGCGAGTGCCTGGTCTACGCATCGCTCTGGTGGAAGGAACTGGAGAAGCCTAGGAATTCGAATAACTTACCCAGCTGGTAGCCAGGGGCGTGTTTGTCCTGTGTGTGTGTGTGTGTGTGTGTGTGTGTGTGTGTGTGTTTCCAAGATGTGTCCAATTTTTCTCTCCTTCTAGGAAAGCTTTATTCACTTTCTAAAAGAAATCCAAGTAGTGCACGGTGATTACCCCTTAGAGAAAAAGTGACAGAAGGATACCTTAATTTTTTACTCTTTTACTCCTGTATATTAGGCCGGGTCTTGACATGAATGACGCCACATGGGAGAGAAACACCTTCCTGTTCAAGTCAGCAGTCACCTAAAAAGCCTGCTGAGTTCCTGTCAAAATTAGGAAAGCCTCACTAGCTGAATTGACAAGGAAAGCATTTAGATTTCTAACAATCACACACTGTAACTCCGGAGAAATTGAGTCATCATTGATAGCGATGGACTTAAGCGATATTAATGAAAGGGCAAAAGATAAGCTTTGTGATCTTACTAGAAGAGTAATAAATTAAAAAAAAAAAAAAAACCTAGGTTTTATTTTAACTTCATTTGCTGGGCGAGTAATCAAAGTTATTTAGTACTGCCAAATCAAAACTCTTGAAAGCATTTGAACACTACCTGGAATATAGTAGGTGCTCTGTAAATATTTACCTTCTCTGAAGTGCCTGCCACTTGCCTGAAGGAAAGAAACATTAAAATGTTAATTCAAAACAGTTCTGATTATATATACCTCCCAGCTTATATGATCTTAAAATGTAGAAAATGATAGCTTTCACCACTTCCCTACCTCACTCGCTATTACTAAATGTACCTCTTATTGAAAGCTATCACTGGGACCAGCAGGTGATGTAACAGTTACCTTGCTGGACTCCCATGTAGTCAACTGCAGTTCAAGTCCCAGACCTGGCGGCTTAAAACTCATGTGGGCGCATGTGCGGACATGGCCATCCCTCCTGGGGGGTGATTTCTCACTTTCTGTCTCTGTCTCTGGCAAGCTCAGTGCCCTATAGAAGAAAAAAAGCTGCCACTGGGACCAGTAGTTAGCGTAATGGCTATGTCACTGGACTCCCACCTAGTCGACTGCAGTTTGCGTCCTGGACGGTTTAAAACTCATGCCGGGCGCGTGTGCGTGGGTGCCCAAGATCCCGAGAGGAGAACGGAGGAGAAGGGATTGCAGCGTGATCATCCCCCTTGGGGGTTGATTTCTCCTTTCTGTCTCTGTCTGTCTGGCAAGAGCACACGCTCTATAGCAAAAAAAAACTCTCCAAAAGAAAAATTAAATTAAAAAATAAATAAATAAAAAGCTGCCACTAAAAAAGGGGGGAGGGGAACTTGAGGGTTTTTTTATTTATTTAATTTTATATATTCACTTATGTTTAATTTGACAGTGAGAGGGGATGGGGGGAATGAGAAAGCAAGCCACCAGGTCTGGGACTCAAACTGTGTTCAGCCATGTAGGAGTGTTCAGCACCTTAACCACCATGCCACCTGCTTGTCCTGAGATGTCTTTAAACTACTTCATGTAGGGACCAGTGGGTAGCATAATGGCTATGTTGCTGAACTCCCATGTGGTCGACCACGGTCCGAGTCCTGGATCCAGTGACTTAAACTCATGCCGGGTGCCGGTACGTGCCCAAGATCCCGAGGGGAGAATGCAGGAGAGGGCATTGCAGCGTGACCATCTGCCCTGGGGGGGTGATTTATTTATTCATCATCTAGTTCGAACTGAGTTCCTAATTGCCATACTTGTGCTAAGGATCCAAAAAGTTTAGAGTTTAATGAAAGAAAGTTAAAGATACATTTAAGTGCCACAGAACAGCCTTGGAAAGTCAAAAAAAAAAAAAAAAACACTTCTCAAAGGAAGTGATATTACAAAGGAAACCAAAGGATAACATAGATTTGGTCCTTTAGGGTACTTTAGTATTTTCTAATTTTTCCTATGAGTACCTGAGAAGCCCTGGTGGGTTTAAAAAGAATGGCATGGTTAGCTTTACATATTAAGAAACACTCTGCTGCAATATAGAGAATTATATTTTTACTTACAGTGCTAATCTAGCATCATCAGAGATGAACTTGATGAGAAAGGAGTTTATTAGAGAATGTTAATCTGCCCACTGTTTTCTTCACAGGGAAATCCTGCTATAATGTGAGCTGAACACTATACACTATACTTAGGGCTGGCACAATCAGCATGGGATTAGAGGTGAGAGTTGGTGCAGAAAAACTAGTTAGGAAGCCACAGTAAAACGAGGGTATTCCATCCAGTGATCCAGACAAGGGTAATAGTGACAGGGATGGATAGAAGTGACCACATTTGAAAAATGTTTGAGGAGAAACTACTGAATTAGGTAGTTTGATCTGGAAGATGAGAGAGAAGGACACCATTAGTAGTGAGCTGTACAGTGGTACAGTAGCATACATACCATTTACCTGTTAGGAAATTAACATTTTTCAGGCCAACTCCATAGCCTAAGAAATAAAGAAGCCAGATCCCACATGGCCATGTGCAGTTCAAATCCCAGCCTAGGTGGCTTGAAACCATGCTAGATACATGCCCCAAATCCCAACAGGACAGAGAAATAGTAAAGAGATTGCTAAATATACCTCTTACTGAAAGCATCTAACCATGTTCCATTAGTAGGGTGCTTTCTTCTCCCTCTTTCTCTCTGGTGAGTACATGTACCCTCTGGCAATTAAAAAGAATTAATATTTTCATGTATAACCTCAGAAATTCAGGTGTTAAAATTGCATTGATTATAATAAAAATACATTCTCATTTCATAAATACAAACAATACTTATATTCACCTATACGTTATGTTCCCTAAATTTACTATGTCCGTTTTTACCTCTTACTCAGCCCACTCGTAAGTTTCCTGAACAATCTGAAACTGCTTACTAACATGAAACTTTGTCTTTCTACACTCATTTTTCATGGCATGTGATGATTTCTTCCTTGAAGTACTCCTTATTTTTGAATTACTTAATACTAAATTTATTATTTCTTACTCTTATGGTTTATCTTCTATCTTTTTTTTATAATTATTTTATTTAACTTTATTTACTTATTTTAATTTGAGGAACAATGCGAGAGAAAGTGAGAAAACAAGCCACCAGGTCTGGGAGATTCTAACCTCAGTCAGCCATGTGGGAGTCCAGCGCCCTTAACCACCATGCCACCTGCTGGCCCCTATCTTCAATCTTTACCAACCCTTCTCCCTACCCCCTAACTTGTCTTTATACTCTTAACAATATGATGTTGATTGTTCCTGCAGTTTCAAGTAACATCTACTGCTGATGCCTCCCAAATCAGTACCTCTCAGTCCTTATCTCTCTAATGAGTTTTAGATTTACAGACCAAGTGTCCACTCAGGATTTCCCTAGTCTCCATCCAGTCCCCCAGATTTAACATCTGTATTAATGAACTAACTGCCTTTCCCCCAATTACATCCCACCTCCTGTTTTCCCTTTTTCAATAAGTTAACACAGCATCTACCCAGCAACTTGGAAGTCATCCTCCTTTGACTACTTAACCATTCTCTCTTAATTGGATTATTATAACAGCCTTTTAACTGGTTCACTGCTTCCATTCATGCAATCCTGACTACTGTTCTATAACCAGCAGGGAGTTGCTAAATATTTAACAGCTAGCTCTCCAGGCAAAGAGGAAAACCCTGATTTGTAATATGTTCCCAATATTCATGGTATATATTCACACAAAGACTGATTTCAAGTTACCAGTAGAACATCATTGATGATGGGGTTAGGAAGACATGTGCAAATACTACACTGTTCTGTATATTAATGTTTTCTACCAGATAAAATAGATGTAAATAACCAAGGAGAGAAAGAGAGAACCTCCCCCTTTCCCTAGGTAGGGATGCCCATATCACAATCCCTTCTCCTCCATTTTCCTCTTGGAATTTTGGGCAGACACTCAATATGCATCCAGCATGCTTTTCCTTTTCCTTTTTTTTTTTTTTAAAGAATTTTTTTGTTTAATTCCATTTGTTGTTACTATTATTTTTTTAACTTGACCAGAGAGGGAGAGAAGGGGAAAGTGAGAAAGCAAGCCTCCAGGTCCGGAACTCAAACCACTCTCAGCTATGTGGGAATCTAGCACCTTCACCACAATGCCACCTGCCGGCCCTCCAGCATGATTTTCTTTATTTTCAAGAGATTTTTGCTATAGGAGGTGTGTGCTTACCAGAGAGACAGAGTGAAAAATCACCCCGTAGGGAGTATGGCCATGCCACAGTCTCTTCTCCTCCATTCTCTTCTTGGGATTTTGGGCACGCATGCACATATGTCTGGTGTGAGTTTTAAGCCACTGGGTCAGGGACTCAGGCCACAGTTGACTATGTATAAGTCCAACGACATAACTGCTATGTAATATGCTGGTCCCTCCAGCAAGTTTTTCAAGCCACAGGGACTGGGACTTGAACTGCTTAGTGAGCCATGTGGGATCCAGCTACTGCAACCATCATGCCATCTAATTTAATGTTTAATAACTGTTGTATTTAACAACTGATTCAAAAATTTTGTAATAATCAGTTCTCAAAATTCAACCCTATAATGACTTACCAATGCTATTTTAGATAAAGTTCAAAATTTCTCGTCGACTTAAATGGCCCTCCAACATCATTTTATGTCATAATACTCTTATAAGACTCATAGGGACTTGTAATTACTTTTATAGTAATAAACAGAATTTATCTAGTACTTAGCATATAGTAAATAAAGGCTTAGCCCTGGAGAGGGGTTAATCCTTGGAACCTCACTAGGTACCATTCTTACCCTAATATATAGATGATTAAAAAGAGACCTAAACAGGTTAAATAATTTACCTAAAGTCACCTGGCTATTATGCAAAGGAGGCAGAACTGTAGCCCTGGTTAAAGCCCAGTGAATTATTAAATATCCTACTACTGTTTGCAAGGTACTGTGCTGTCAAAGGTAGATTGATGAAAAGATATGATAATGACCTCTGTCCTCAAGAAACATAATCTTTTATTTCACTGGAGATTTATTAAAGTGGAAACATTACTGGAAACTGTGGTGTCATTATGGTGGAATGCAGAGAAAGGAAGTGCCAGAATCTGCCTAGGCTTTCCTTGATATAATTTAATTTTCAGGGCCAGCTAGGTGGCATGTGGATTAAGGCAACCGGATCCTACGTGGACAACTGAGCAGTTTGAGTCCCAGATCTGCCAGCTTGAAAAACATAGTACATCCATAAGCGTGGGTGCCCAAAATCCAGAGAGGAGAATGGAAGAGAAGGGATTGTGGCATGGCCATCCTCCCTGGGGGGTGTTTTTTCACTTTCTCTCTATCTCTTCCCAGCAACCCCACACTTTTTCAACCCCACTATTTCAATTCAATAGTGAATTGAAAGAATAAAAAGTTAAAAATTTAATTTTCAGATAATCTGATTTGTCTTGACCATGTATACCGGCAGTAAATCAAAGCGTTGTGAAATTACTCCTGCTTATGATGGTTCTACATAAACTTATTATATGTCAGTTTAGTAATGTTTTACTTTACTGCCTACATTAAAGACTAGGTTGGAAAAAAAATGCCTCTTTTAAAAGCACCGAATAGGGCCAATAGGTGACATGGAGGTTAAGGTAGCTGCATTCCATATGACCAAGTGCTTGTTTCAAGTCCCAGAATCATCAGCTTGGGAAACCCTGGGCGCATGTGCGAATGTGCCCAAAATCCCAAGAGGAGAATGAAAAAGGGATTGCTGTGTGACCATCCCCCTGGAGAGTGACTTTTCATTCTCTCTCTCTCTCTCTCTCTCTCTCTCCCTCCCTCTCTCCCTCCCTCCCTCTCTCTCTCCCCCTGGCAAGTGCACAGGCCTTATAGGAAAAACTTTTAAAAAGAAAAGCACTCATTTGCACAGGTCCTAAAATCCCCAGAGGAAAATAGAGGAGAATGATTTATAGCATGGCCATCTCTGCATGTAGGTGACATTACTGTGTCTGTCTGTCTGTCTCTCTCTCTCTCTCTCTCTCACAAGTTCATGTTCCCTATTGTAAACTTAAAAAAAAAAAAAAAAACTGAAAAATAAAAACACTCAAGTCAGTTTTTTATACCTTATAAAAATTAGCATTAATTGGTTTCTGTTCCAGTGTTTGGATATTAGGAGTTTAAATTTTTATATATAAATGGGTAACACTTTAAATCATCAATTTTAAATTTTCCTTTACTGATTAGGTGCAGGACCAGCAGATGACATACAGGTTACGTTGCTGGACTCTCACATATTGGACCGCAATTCAAGTCCCAGACCTAGCAGCTTCAAACTCACGCTGGGCCTATGTGCATGGGTGCCCAAAATCCTGAGAGGAGAATGGAGGAGAAGGGACTGTGGTGTGGCCATCCCCTTGCAGGGAGGTGATTTCTCACTTGCCGTCTGTCTCTCTGACAAGTGCAAACACCCTATAGCAAAAATCTAAAAAAAAATTAAAAAGAAAAAAAGATTAGATGCAACCAGAAGTATGAAAGTTGAAATTTGAGTTGTCTTTCTATTTTTTAAGGTTTCCTCTGGATCCTAAAAGAAGAAAAGAATGGGTTCGCCTGGTTAAGCGCAAAAATTTTGTGCCTGGAAAACATACTTTTCTTTGTTCAAAGCACTTTGAAGCCTCTTGTTTTGACCTAACAGGACAAACTCGAAGACTTAAAATAGATGCTGTTCCAACCATTTTTGATTTTTGTACCCACATAAAGTCTATGGTAAGTAATGTTACTTTTTTTAAACCATTTTTAGAACTCATTCCTTTTTTTTTACACAAGAGACACTCAAAAATGTTTTCAAATTCATACACAGTGCCATGCCTCAAAAAGACCTTCCTCTAATACAGTAAAGGTGCAGGCAACAATTACAGTTCAGCTTTTCTGACTCCAGTATTCTTGCCTCAATCCAAATTTTCTTTAAATAAATATACAAATAGCAGAATTTTATATTACTACTAAATTATCTTACCATTGGCAATACTGAGAAAACATTTGAGTAATGAAATCTCCAGTATTACTCTGCTCTACTATTAAGATGGCATCCAAATAGCACGTGCCAAGTGCTTTAAGAACAGCAGACCCAGAGACACACTGAAGGATGTAAATTTAGAGGCAGGTGGAACAGAAAACTCTATAGACCTCAGGCATTTAGGAAATTTGGAACTTAGGAGAGAGTTCTTGACCTTGCACAGAACAACTGCAATTGTATGCTAAGAACAAAATGTAGGTAGTGATATTTAAAAGGTAGAAGAGAATTAAGGTACAAAATGAATGAATTAAAACTGTTTTATCTAGTTAGGGAAGATCTGATCAGAGAAGAAAACTGAGTTGAGGAAAGGCTGTGAAACAGTAAGGAGGGGTAGAAGGAAGACAGACATCTTTTCCTCTGGGGGTGGGGGGAGACACTGCTTTTCTTGAGTCATTTCTGACAGTTAAATTAGTAAATGTACACGTATGAATGCCTGAGTGAGGAGCAGGTTGTGGTAAACTATTACAGGTGTTAGAAAATACCCAGAAGGGCAAGACTTTTGACTTTTTCACATCTGAATCCTCAAGACTTCAAGTAGTACCTGGAACATAGTATGCACTCAGATTTTATTGAATTTGAAATATATGTTATTTCTGATATATTTATCATTAATTCATTTAATAAATACTAAACTTTATGTAATTCCAGAATTTAAGCTTGATGCTCAAGATAATAAAGATTAGAGGAGTCCCTGTCAAGTCCTTAGGCAAAGGGACCAACTTTAGGTTTCATAAGGGCAAAAACTATATTTATCTTACATGTTCACTGTTGCATCTCCAAGAATGTATAGAATGTGTTTCAACAACTGTTTATTAAATGAATTAAAGACACAAATGTATGAAGATATGCTATAACCTGACAAGTCTGGTTTAGTATTGCTGGAATATAAATCAAACTAGGGAATGGCAGAATAGGGTGAGATCCCAAATGTTATAGTAAGGCATGTAGTTTGGTTTTTTGTTTTGTTTTGTTTTTTCCCTTTAGCTAATAGGTAGGAGAGAAGAATTTAGCCAGAATAGGAATGTCAAATATACTAAAAAAAGAAATCGTTCTGGTGGCAAAATATAAAGATCAAAATGAGGTTAACAGTTAGTGAAGAAGTTTTTTAACATAGTCAAGCCAGATAAGATATGAGCCTGGTGTAGGTAGGAAGTAGCATCAGGAATGATAGGATTCATGATAGAAATATTTAGGAAGTAGAATTAATAGGACTTAGTAAATATTTGAAAGAAAGAGATAATGCAAAAAAGAAGCTCCTCTTTATGATTTGGGCAGTGTTTCTAGTCAGGTTTCAAATCCTTGAAGATGTAATTAACCTGTAAATCTATTCAGAAGCTTAATACTTGAGAATATGTTTCTATTGATCCTTCAATTTTTATTAAGTAGGACCCCAGGTCTGAAGTACTAATCAAATCAAGAGAATAGTATTTAAAACAGAAGTCACATTAGTATCTCAGATAATCAAAATGTCTAAATATATTCTAACCGGGCCTTAGCAAGAAAATTGTAAAGAGTTTTTTAAGTTTCCGTAGAATCATACTTAGTCATTTGGAAACGACCTTGAAAATCCATTGTCTATTTCCAAATAATAATTTTTTTTGGAGAGGTGTTTTTTTTTGTTTTTTTTTTTTTGTTTGTTTGTTTTTTTTGCTATAGGGCGTGTGCACTCGCCAGAAAGACAGAGAGACAGAGAGACAGAAAGTGAGAAATCACCCCCCAGGAGGGATGGCCACACCGCAGTCCCTTCTCCTCCATTCTCCTCTTGGGTTCTTGGGCACGCATGCACATACACCCAGCGTGAGTTTAAGCCACTGGGTTCTGGGTTTGGGACTCGAACCATGGTCGACTACATGGGAATCCAGCGACATAGCCATTGCACCAACTGCTGGTCCCTCCAAATAAATATTTTTGTTTCTAGAGAAAGGATAAACTGAAATAGGTGTCTAGAGTTAATTTAACCAGTTGGGAAACTTTAAGTCCATGATTGCAGGAAGTGGGCTGCTGCTATTTCCTATTGAACATTTAAAAATCACTTTAAAGAGAGCAGGTTAAATGGTCTGTTATCCAAAACTGGACAGTGTTTACTTTTATGTGATGTTTCATAATTTACATTCAACCCTTTAATTTTATTCGCTCAGAAACTCAAGTCAAGGAATCTTCTGAAGAAAAACAACAATTATACTCCAGCTGGACCATCAAATTTGAAATCAAACATTAGTAGTCACCAAATACTACTCGAACATAGTTATGCCTTTAGGAATCCCATGGAGGCAAAAAAGAGGATAATTAAACTGGAGAAAGAAATAGCAAGCTTAAGAAAAAAAATGAAAACTTGCCTACAAAAAGAACGCAGAGCAACTCGAAGGTGGATCAAAGCCACGTGCTTGGTGAAGAATTTAGAAGCAAATAACTTACTACCTAAGGGCACATCAGAACACATTTTACCAACTGCCTTAAGCAATCTTCCTTTGGAAGATTTCAAGATTCTCAAACAAGATCAACAAGAGAAAACTTTACCAGTTCTGTAAATCTAAACAGACCAACAGTACCTTCATTTTAAGTTTAGCTTGCATAGAACTTGATGCCCACCCTTCATTCTATTCAGAGGTAAAGAATAGAAATTGAGTATCTAATAAAGTTTTACTTGAAATAATATTGTTACTGTATAAGTTATGAAGACTTGATTTTAAAAAAGGAAACTGTTTGTGAAACCTTTATTTGAAAATGAATGAAAGTGCCTTACATGCAAATAACATGCTTAAAATGTTTCCTAGGAAATTTTATTTGAAAGGTATCTAGTTTGGTCATCTTTTTGAACTACTCTTAAAGAACAGCCTATGACAACTAATATGTGTAAGTTATATCTTAAAAAAAAATTTTTCTGTGCCAAAGTTGGGATATTATCAATACATTCTAAATAAGATGCTAAGTAGGAGTTAACCAACATTTTATGTGACCTTAAAACTGCTGGGTTTTGTATTGATTAAATTATTACTGGTACTGTGACTTGAAAAATTTTAAGGTATAGGGCAAGTTCTCTTTATTTAAACTTTCCATACATGATAAATATATATATATATATATTTTATTTTTTACCAGTAAAGGTAAGCTACTTATGTCTTTCCCACATAAAAATACTAGATTTTGAAACAGTTGTAAAATATAATATTTTGAGAATTATATTTTCAAATGTGAAGTACCCTTGAGTCATACAAACTAGTTAGTCCTCAAGTACCTCAGACTAGTAAAAACTGGTTGCTGATGTTCATACCTTCTAAGAAAACATGGTGTAGAATGATGTAAAGTTTCGAGATCTAGCTTTTACTTTAGTTAAAGAAACAAATGTATGCTACTCTTTTTCTCAAAATAAAAATATCACATTTCCAACTTGGAAAAATTGGTGCATTAATAAGCAAACATATTACCAAGTTCCATGTTAAAAATACCCCTATGCCGCCTTTGTGTGTTAACATACCAAACTAAAGCTTTTTTTTTCTTGTTAACTGCTTTCTAAATATATTCTATACCTCAGAAATAGCATATCAACATACTGAACCTTTTTTTCTCTTTATAAACCCACAGTAAAATTAAGTCAGAAAAGTACTTACCATATTGTATCCTCACAATTTATAACAAAGTGAAATCAGTTTGTCTTACAAATTAACTTGCTTTTTATCTCCTTTTTTAGTGAGTCAAATAGAGCAATTGTAGCGCATACGCAAAATGAAATATAGCTCTCCATACAAATATATGTGTGTCTATGATAAAGCTATGCAAGTAAGTGCTAATTGTTTTATAAAATGGATGTTTTAGAACTATTCTTGTGGTTGTTGCTAAAGCAGTTAAACAATTGAATAGAAAGGAGTTCTAATAGCTGTAGAGTATGTGTTTAAAACCATAAAGCTGGTATTTAAGAAAGAAGTATTACTGTGAACGGATTAGATGGGATACTGAATTTAAGCCAAGGAGACCATCTGAGACATATTTGAAATAATTAAATTAAAGGGTTTGCCTTATTTAACTAAATATTTAATAAGAACCCTTCAGACACATGAAATCATGTAAAAATGTATCTATAATCAAGTTATTTAACCTTGATTAAAGCTTATGATGCTCCCATATGAAAGTAGCGTACATATAATCACAAATCGCTGTGTATCTTTCCTACATAATGGCTACTTGATAAAAGCCTTTCTTTTTTGTTTTGTTTTGTTTTGTTTTGTTTTATTTGACAACTGTTTGGATTACCTTTTTAAATTTTTTATTTGTATTTTTTTAAAGAGAGATTTTTGCTATACGGTGCATGGGCTCACCCGAGAGACAGAGAGACAGAAAGCAAGAAATCACTCCCCAGGGGTAATGACCACACTGCAATCCCATCTCCTCCACTCTCCTCTCAGGATTTTGGGCACACACACACACACACACACACACACACACCCCTGGAGTGAGTTTCAAACTGCCAGGTCCAGGATTCAAATCACTGTTGACTACATGGGAGTCCTGCAATGTAACCATCATGCCATCTGCTGGTCCCTAGATCGCCTTTTTTTTTTAATGACATTTGCTTGGATCCTAACAATAGTCTTTTCATAGTATTAGCACTTTTTCTTTTCATAAAGAGTATCTCTGAAATGAATGCAAAGGTAAAAATCTGTTTTGCTCTTCATGAGGTACTTAAAAAAATGTTCATGAAAATCTTTTTGTAGATGGTATAAACTTTTAGTGATTTTATCTTATATATTGGATACGGTTCTTTAGAATGGTTATTATGTGTTTTTTTCCTAATACAGGTTTAAATACTTTTTCACCAGTTTGTATTGAGCAACCACTAACCATATCTAAATTTTTTTAATTATTTAATTTTATTTATTAATTTATTTATTTTAATTTGTCCAGAGACAGAAAGAGAGAGGGAGAAAGTGAGAGGAGCAAGCTGCCAGGTCTGGGACTCAAACAGTGGTCAGTCACGTGGGAGTGTCCAGCACCTTAACCACCACACCAACTGCTGGTCCCTGACCATATCTAATTTATATCTAAAATAAGTTGGGCAAGTAATCCTCTGAATGCAAATTATGTTTCCAAAATATAGACTCATAATTTATTTCTCCTCAAATCCAAATACAGAGCAAAACACTTTAGTTAATGCAGCCTGTTTTCCATCTACAATAACGGCATCTTGATATCTTGTTGTTGTTAAGAGATTTTTTGCCATAGGGTGCATGCACACACCAGAGAGACAGAGATAGACAGAGAGACAGAAGGCAAGAAATCACCCTCCAGGGGGGATGGCCATGCCACAATCTCTTCTTCTCCAGTCTCCTCTCTGGATTGGGCATACACGCATACATGCACTCACTCATGCACACTCAGTATGAGTTTGAAGCTGCTGGTTTAGGGACTCAAACTGCTGTCAGCCATGTGGGGGTCCAGCAACATAACCACTATAACATCTGCTAGTCCTGAAATCTTCATATCTTAATAAAACATTTTTTTAAATCATGAAACACTATGAAGTACAACTTGCTTTTGGCAGTTACTTATTCTTCATTATTATTTGACACCCTTGAATAACTCAATAATTTTAGGGACCAGCAGGTGGCATGGTAGTTAAGGCGCTGGACATTCCCATATGGCCAACCACGGTTTGAGTCCTCGATCTGGTGGCTTGCTATCTCACTTTCCCTCTCTCTCTGGTCAAATGAAAAGAAATGAATGAGTGAATAAAATTAAATAAATTACATATATATAAAAAAAAAAAAAAACTCGGGAAAAACAGTTAGTGTAATGGTTATGTCGCTGGACTCCCATCTGCGCGACCACCCAGTGGCTTAAAACTCACACCGGGCGCGTGTGCGTGCATGTCCAGGATCCTGAAAGGAGAATGGAGGAGAAGGGATTGTGGCATGGCCATCCCCCCCGGGGGGGGGGATTTTTCGCTTTCTGTCTCTCTGTCTCTCTCTCTCTCTGTCTGGCGAGCGCACGCACCCTATAGCAAAAACCTCTTGAAAAAAAAATAATTTTAGAGTAAATTTTTTGTGTTGTTTTCCATATCATTTTCATGTTACTGTCCTGAAAACATGATCCATACCTACACTGCATCAAATTGTTTTATTAACTTACATCTATTTAAAATTAGTTTAATTTAGGAGCCAGCAGGTGGCGTGGTGGTGAAGGTGCTGGATTCCCACATGGCCACAACCTTGGATCAAGTCCTGGACTTGGCGACTTACTTACTCACTTTCTCTCTCTCTCTCTCTCTCTCTCTCTCTTTCTCTCTCTTCTTCTCTCTCTCTCTTTCTCTCTCTCTCTCTCTCTCTCTCTTTCTCTCTCTTTCTCTCTCTCTGGTGAATGCATGTACCCTAAAGCAAATTTAAAATAATCATAAATAAAGTAATTCTTAACAAATATTAGTTTAATTTATAGAGAAAAATCTAAAAGGAATCTCTTAAAACTGTTTTCAGTTTGTTGATAGATTTATCACTTTGACCATATACCATAAAACTAATAAAAATTGTAATAGCTCTTTTTCATCTTCTAGACACAACACAGATCCTCTGTTCTTTTATTTTGTGTCTGCTGGGCCATAACCTCTACAAAGAGCCAGACAAAGTCTAGAAACTATTATAAAGATGAATATGACAGGGCTGGCAGATGGTGTGGTGGTTAAGGATGCTGGACTCTCACATGGCCAACCGTGGTGTGAGTCCCAGACCTGGTGGCTTGCTTTCTTCTTTTCTTCTCTCTCCTTGTCACTCACTCTCTTGCTCTGTCCCTCTCTAGTCAAGTATAATTAAATAAAATAAAGTTAAATTATTATTTTTAAAAACTTTAAAATAAGATGAATATGACATAATTTTCTGCCCTCAAACTGACTAGCCTCCTGAGAGAAAAATTATTATACAATGTGATAAACACTATAAAAGAAATAGGTATAAAGTGCTTTAGGAAATGCTGTTGAATTGGAATCCAGTGAGAACATATAAACTTGAGACAGTTTTGCGATCAAATGCTTTTCTTTGGAAACGAAGCAGACTTCTTATAACAGCTTACAGAAGGAGGGAAAAAGACATTGGTGTTTTGAACTGAATGTATTACAATGTTATTTTTAATGAGTCAAAAGACATTTTTATTAAAATGAACAATAAACAACTCTGTTATTAATGGCATCTTGGTTAAAAGGAAAATATAGCTATTTGATATTTTATACTAAATAACAACCCCCCATTGATACAGATTTTTAAAATAATTTAACTTAATTTTACAAAGCACACTGGCATCCATTTGTTCTTTATCCTTACAAACATATTCTGTGGTAGGTGGTATTATCACTGATTTACACATAGAGAAATCTTCGTTAATGTAATTTTATTTATTCAGTCATTTATTTGCACAAAGAATAGAAATGGCTGTGATCTAGAAAGCTCTATATTGGTCATGGGTTTCCTTTACCCTCCACATTCTAACCCTCTTTTTAACATATGAACCATGCTATTAAACTATGACAAATAACATGTCTCAGAAGAAAAAAGACAAAAGTTAATATATGGCAAAAATATCAATGAGATCATTGTTGATTGTATACTTTTTAATGCTGGTGATTTATCTCATTTCTCAACATTAGAATACGGGTAAATTTTAATTTTGGTATAA